TCTGATCCACTGGCTTAACAACTATACGTTTTCAATATGCTCAACCGCTTTGGAGACATTTGATGCTACCATTAGTGCTGCATGGTGGTTTTGTGGTTAGATATGTTGTGACAGGACCAAAGCTCTGATTCTCTTTATCTGCTTGTTTCAGGCTGTACTTCATGACCAGGAGAGGAGCAGGATCAGCTCTTTGACAAAAGATGAGTCAGACCCCAGAGCTCTGGCCTACGTCTACCAACACCAAGACACCTACAGCCTCTTCTACATCAAGATGGCAAACCTGGTAACAACACACTGTGCTCGTAGGGGAACAACATAACCCATTCCACGTAGTATCCTTCATAGCTGTTTAGGAGGGTGTGTTTAAACATGACATTAAACTTAGCACACCTTATATTCAGGTTCATAATTTTACTTAGGGTTAATATTTGAAAAGGTTTACATGCTCTAAAGTTCAAAAAACACAAAATTTGTCCCTGAAAAGAAGCAGTTTTATCTCAGCTAAACTAAATTGCATTAGATTGTGTTGTTGAGTTGATGAGTGTTGTTGAGTTCCGCCCTCTTTAGGTCAACAGATATCGATATATTCCCTCAACTGACGCCTCACCACATGAACGAACGTAGAAATATTGACGTGTTGTGTTTTATCAAATCATAAATCAAGTGTTTGGAGGACGAGCACATGCAAAAACTAACTTGTGATGCAATGTTTTAAATAAGATGCGCTGCTTTGAATTTTCAGCTGCTGTTAATTTGCTCTTTATCGTCACAGAGAAAGTTTTTTCAATTGTTGGGTTAAAAGAAAGGGAAAAAAGAGAGATGATATTTAAGCGTCTGACACATTTTACCGGCCTGCAGTGAATATTTTTGTAACACAGTGTTGTGTTTTATCTGGTTCATCAGGCAGATCCAGTCCTGGCCGACATCAAAGAGGTTTGTCAGAGTGAGGACCAGGAGACGCCACAGGAACCTGCAGAGACACCGACACAGGTCCGAGTTTAATCCAGTTTTTCTGTGTGTGTGTGTGTGTGTGTGTGTGTATGTGTGTGTGTGTGTGTCTTTACTGCATTTTGAATTTGTTCCTCTTTGATTTCCAGACGAGCTCCTCACTGCTTCTAAATCACAGTTCAGCCTCTCCAGCTGAGGTACATCAAACAACAAAGATTTATTCCTGAATGTTGAGTCATTTGCGGAGGTTTATTGTATCTCCATCGAGTTTTCTTCCACATGTTGGAAGAAAACTCTCCAGTGTTTAAATATTTACACGATTTTGATTTTCAGGCACCAGCTTTTGAGGGTGTGTTCAGTCCACGACCGGAGTCTTCACCAGGACAATCACAGCAGGTAAACCACAACACAACGTTCAGCGTGTGACTGTTTTAACTGCAACTCACAGAACCACAAGGCTCTTAAACCAAAACAGCCAAAGTTCACTGCTACTGAAACCTTAACAAACAGATCTGTTTTAATTTCAAATAATGATGGATACATTTGTCCCAGAGAGAAGAAAGTAAGCGCAAAAGCACTTGATTATTTTCTAAAGCTATGATTTTTAAATAACAGACACAGGAGGTTTATTATCAGCATCATTAAAATAGGCTTGTCAGTTTGAAACCCTCAGATAATGAAGGAAGCTAATCAGTGAGAAAATTACAGTTGACTCAGATTTTCATCGTAATGTATAAACACTGAAGGAGTCAGAAAACCCTGTCCTCTGCTCCCGGTCCATGAAAGCTACAAACCAACGTGTTGTCTGTTTGTGTGTCTGCAGGTCTCTCCCAGAAATGAGCTGATGGAGGTTTTCTCCATCCAGATGGAGGCGCCACTGTCTCCAACACACAGCACCTGCAGCAGTCAGCCAGGTTAGTGGAATGTAGCTCTAAAGTGCATTTTAATTGTAGAGCTATTGGAAGGCAGTTCTCAGCCTGGGTAGAAGTGCAACCTGTGAGGCCAAACTCAGGGCAAAATTAGGCTGTCTCTGAATTTTAAATTCAAAGCATATTTGTTGTGGATTTGTTTCTTTACATAGTTAAAACTAAGTCCCAGCATTATATTTTCACAGATCTTTATGAACGACCAACAAAGTTCATCACACACAAAATAAAAAGATTTGTTTTTGTAAATATATCATCACTTTACTCACACACACAATCAGAGCTCCTCTGCAGTGTGTTAACTCACATCACACTGTGGTGTTAAACTGTGGCTAAATAAATAACATGGTTGAATGGATGAGGCTGCACATCAAAACCTCATTTATGTCTTTACCCAAAAAATAAAACATTTTATCCTCAAGTTTCATTTAAGTTATACATAATCATCAGGGCAAAGTAGGTTCTGCTGGATATACAATACTGTAAAGAATTTCTCATTGTGTTCCATCATTTTAATAACACACAAGTGGTAGTTATTCCCAACAGCTGTCGAGCTACTGCCCCTCAACTGAGCTCTGACCTTTGACCTTCAGATGCAAGATAAAAGAGAGTTTTCCATGATTGTAAACACTTTTTTTTTCCCATGATCACTCTGCACGAGTTATTTGATTTTTGATCTACGGACCAGGTCATGATACTATGATTCCCATGGATCTCCTGATAAAGAGCCGAGTTTTAAACCCTGTAGCGACAGACAGAGGAATGTGGAGTGTTTATTGTTTATCGGTGATGGAATAAATAACCTCAAACATTTTTGCTGCTCGGTTTCAATTATCTCCACAATGTGGTGGAACATTTTTCATTGATGCCACTCTGTTAAAATAATCTCTGGAGTGGATTAGCTCAGCATAAAGATTGGAAACAGAGAGAGCTAACATAACGACCAGAGCAGAACTCAGTTTTAAAGACTTCTCTCCCTCCATAGATTCTCCTCAGCCAACACTCTCCACCTCTCAGATCCTCTCCATGTTCCCCACTCAGCCACCAGGGGGCTCTCCATACTCCTCTCCACCATACTCTCCCACATCCGTGCCCTGGGGCCACAATGTTTTCCCAGGAAACCATTGGGCAGGTCCAGCTATGGCGCCCTGGCCAACCGCACCTGGCAACATGGCCGCATGGCCGCCGGCAGCCATCACAGCGCCCCCTGTAGGCTGCCCTCACGGCATGATGACCTCTCAGCCAGGGGTCATGTGGGGAGGCAGTACCCCCGCTTCACCCACCACTGCCAACGGTTACGCTTCACCTGTAAACTCCATCAATGTCTCAACTGGAGCCACAGGATCAACGTCAGTGGCGCCTGGTTTGGACCAAAATCTGCTGCTGTGAGGAAACGTCTCAGTCACGACTGGACAGTTTCTCATTCTGCAGCAGATTCAAACCAAACTCCCTGAACCCAATAAATAAATAAATAATAATAATATGAGACGTTAATGAGATCCGCAGCTGTTTGTCATCATGTTCTCATCTTTCATTCTACAACCAAAGTTGCCCTTAATTCAACTTTTCTAGGTCTCCAAATAAATAATAGTATAGTTGAAGAATGTATGGCCAATGGAAGATATAGAACAGGACATTAAATAGGAGACTTTTCATTTGTATTATTATTATTATTGGAGTTAGTAGTATTTACACATAACTCTTTACATCAGTCCAGACTGGACCAACTAAACACTTTTTGAGTTTTTTTCACAGCTGAAGCTACCACAGGTTCTTTTTCATGTTTGGAAGGGGAGGGTGAGGTGAGGGGTGTTCAGCTGCAACATGCAACTTCAACACTAGATATCACTAAATTCTACGCACTGTACCTTTAAGAATCACAAAAATATTTTAGCACGAATCTAAGCGTTTTTACTCCTTTTCATTTTTTA